CAATCAAAAATAAATTTTTTCGTTATTAACCTTAAATTAAATTATAATTAAAACAAATTAAACAAAAGAACGAGAACTTTTAAATAATTAATTTGATACTAATTTCAATATATTTTTTCAAATTTTTATGATATCTTACAATGTATATTTTATTCAAAAATAAAAACATGATTGTTTTCTCAAAACCACATAAAACCGTATTACAACATCGATGGAGACAGATAATAAAACAAAATATTAAAATCAAGATGTATTTCGCTGTATTATGCGGGTACCCTTCTAGTAAATATTTAGTATTCTTCATTTTTGAGATTATGTTGTTAAAGATGCTCTAATGTCTTATTGTGTTTGAATAGCCTACTTAATTTGCTTATTTTATTTTCCTAAAATAATTGACAATTTGACTTCATTTAACGCAGTTTCTACTTCTTTAAACGATGCTGACTATTTTAAATAATGGTGTCAGTTCCGATAATACGGGTCAACCTCTTTGTACGTTCAAGTCATTTAAGCTCTTTTATTTCATATACGGAAAATTAGGAATCATATTCGTAGAAGAAAAGGAGGAATATGACTCTCAGAATATTTTTTTTTGGTTCAGTATATTATCATACATGAGTATCTGGTTCTCTTTTGCGTACTCCTTCATTCCAGTGTTCTTCTAGATTATGTTTAATAATCATTATCTCTATATATTAAAATAATTAATCCATAAAAACACATAATTTTCGTACATCAAATTCATAAACCAAAAAAATCCGATTTTAAATATCACAAACTTACAAGATCCAAACACGCATATTTGACATGGGGAGCGATCAAATGCAAACCACTCAATTTATACAAAACCGTGCAAACTTCATTCAACCAATTATAATTTTTCATTTTGTTCATTTTTTTTTTGTAATTATGAGATGTTGATTAATCAATATTATTGTGGAGGGTGTTAATCATAGATATTATCATATTCATTATTTTAATTTTAGAGAAATACATGAAACGATTTCATTAAAATTTTATTAAATATTATATGAAACAATTTCATAACCATATATGAAACAACTTAATCAAAAAAAGTATTATATGAAACAATTTCACAAGATTAAACAATTTAATGAAAAAATTTCATAAGATTAAATAATAAAATCGACAGATGAAGGTGGTTTGTACGGTTTACATAAAGGAGAACAGTTTTCATTTAAACGCCCATCTATATAATATATATAATAACTATTTGTACACATGTCAAATATAGTCAATTTGTTTATCCAAATATTCCACAAATTCAATTCATATTAATCTGATCATTAATAAATAATTAATAAACCCTAAATAAAACTGATATGTTATATGCACATGCACATCCAACATATATGGAAAAAATTCAATTATATAAAAAAAAACCCATAGAAACCAAAAATTAAGATTAAAAAGACTTGTTGCTTAATTTCCAAACATCTCCATATAATTAAATTAGTTTAGTCTTTAATTATTGGATAATTAATTCACTTATCATGTACTTTCACCCCCACCATAACATCCATGTTGCACATTGGTGTCCTCTTCCCACCATACAACACGTAACACACGTACACACACAATAATCTCCGTGCGTACCGTATCATTTTACCGTATTTGATCCCACACCCACACACGCCACGAAAATTGAAGTTTCATATTCCGCCCCTATACTATCTACATAGAGACCAAAGAGGTCCCTGAACATATGAAACTAACAAAATTAAGACGAAGAATCGTGTGAGAATAGGAGTTAAGGTAAGAAGTATAAGAAGAGATTTGAAGAATTGATCACTTTCAATACCAAAATAAACTATGAATCGCTCTTTAAAAGATAATTGATCTAGTGGTTATCTTTAATCATGATTGATCTAAGGGTGATGATTTTTTCACACCATAACTTTCATTCTCACCGGAACCCAACCCAACCCAACAAATCGATCACCCAACTTTTCATTTTAGGTGAACCTTGCATACAGACATACATGTTTTTGGGTATTGAATGGATTCATGAGTCATTGTGATATAAAATAAAAATTAATTATAGACTCGATAGATTAAATATAAATTCAATATTTTAAGCCATTAATAAAAAGATACGTTACATAAAACTAATCAATTGTTGGTGTATTTCCACTTGATGATTCTATGCGACTCCCATTCAATGGATGATACTTTTTTAAAGAAGATTTTCGTCTTGAAACAATTAACAAATTAACCCTCAACAAATATCGTTAAAGTCTAAAAAATATACATTGATATAAATAGTTAGTCTCATATATAATCATATTAAATATAAAACAAGTAAAAATCCATTACAAAATTCCAATTGATTCTTCGAATCATCTCAACAAGCTACAAGGGTTGCATTTAATTTGCCATTCTTCAGATATCATGTAAATTGGCTGGCTTTTGATAATTTGTAAATACGTCAGCTAACCAAATGGTAGCTTTTAAATGTGTTACAATGCTAAACTCACGCAAGTTATGTATTCTCGAGATGTAAAGCTCAAAAAGCTCATTAATTTATCATTGAGTTAAAGTTTAAAAACCGACCCTTGTTGTCAATCCTTTTCTTAATCCATTCATCATAAGTCTGAGTTAGATAAACCCGTGGTCTCAACATGCAAACCATTAATAACTTCACGTTACTCTCTTTATTAATAACACTACAAAACCAAATTCCAGATCGAAAATAACTCATTTCTTACATCGTTAAACCTCAACAATTCTTTTATGCCAGGAAAAATACATTCATATGGCAATAGTTTTTTTCGTTTGATCGTTGATATGCAATATAAAAGAAAACGCTCCAAATACCTTCCTAGTTTGAGTGGCATAAGCATAAATTCAATGTAATTTGAGGCATATTCGGTCATTTTTGTAAAGTTGAAGGGGTTGAATTGCCAAGAAAGAACAAAAGAATGGCTTTTCCTTTTGGCTTTCTTTTGTTGTTCCGTACCCTAATTCTGTGATGGTGACGCTAGCATTCTCTCTCTCTCTCTCTCTCTCTATATATATATATATATTAATTGTGTATGTATATATATTCTCTTTATTTGCTTTTAATATAGTTTTTCCATCTCTTTGATTGTTTCCTTTTCTTGACTTTGTATAAAACCATAACCAAGGGAGGTCCCACCCACCACCACCGTCATCATCACCACCACGACCACCGTCGTTCACCGCCTACCGCCGGGTCCACCGAATCATCATCAACTCACTACTTACCATCGCACAAAGATCCGTATAATATACCACCACCACCACCTCTTCTTTTTTCTTTTATTTTCCTTTTTATATTCAAAAAATCAACCCTTTTCTGTGGGTTCCTCTTCTTCCCCTCTCATTTGCATTCACATTCGAATAAGAACCCCCCAAAAAAATCTTGCTTATGTTCTTGAATTTTCTCTCTCTTATCTCCCACCCTGGAAAAAGATTCTTTCTTGGTGAGAGCAGAAGAGGGTTTTGATTTGATTTAATTTTTAGGTTACAGATTCTTTGGAGGACATCAAATTCTGTACCCTTTTGGTAAGATTTTGATTTGATAGTTTTAGATGCTGTTTTTGTAAATTATTTAGTGTTTTGGGGGCAAATAATTGTCTCCATCTCTTCCAATCATGACTGTTTCTTGATTTTCTTTTTTAATTTTAATGCTCAATCCCTTGTATTTTATTATTCGATCGAATTGTTTGTATATTTAATAGTTTGTGGGATGTTTCAGGCTTTGAATGAAGGTGGTGTTTGACTTTTGAAAACCCAAAGGTCTCTGCTTCTGGTGAAGAAGATCCAGGTTTTATTGCATATATGATGCCTTGATTTCATCCATTAAGATCTGTAGCTCAAAAGGTACAATCCGCTCTGCTTTTTTGATTGTATTCTTGAAAAAGCTTTCAATTTTCAAGATTTCTTGGGACAGCTCTTGTGTAAATATGGATGGTTCTGATTTGGGGTTTGTTTGAATCTATGGAATCGTAAAATCTTGTTCTTGATCGAATCTAAACCCACAAATTCCTAGTAGTTAGTTGATTTTAGAGGTTAAAAGATGGAGGGCGAGGCTAATTCTTGGATCAGAAGAACAAAATTCTCTCATACAGTTTGCCATAGGTTAGATTCTGCAAGATTAGCCTCATTCCTATCCGATATTCAACCCAATCCAATCGCTGGTGTCAAAACTCGACCCCCGAAATCCTTTCTAGAACCTACACCGGTTCTTCGAAGCCCGAAAATCCAAACGAATCCGGTTACAAACAAGTATAGAACGGTAACCCCGCCTCCCAAAACCTCGGTTCCCGATACCTTTAAGGAAGCACGATCCGACACGAAGAGATTTTCGACTCCGCATCCTCAAAGAGTCGAAACCGAGAAAGGGGTTAAGGGGAAACGAATGATTCAAAGAAACATGACGGCCGTTGATTTGAGGTCGCCCCCGAATGGTACTAGCCCTCTTCGACACTTTAATTCGTTGAAAATTCAAGATAAGCGAAAGATGAAAAGGGATTATTCGTGGTCGAAGCTGTTTGATCATGGTGGTGGGAAGGTTATTTCGGTCGAAACGGTTGATGATGTTATGGTTGATCTTTCGAAGCTGTTTCTTGGCCATAGATTTGCTCATGGTGCTCATAGCCAACTTTACCATGGAATCTATAACGAAGAAGCGGTTGCCGTGAAGATTATTAGGGTGCCCGATGATGATGAACATGAAGAATTAGGAGTTCGACTCGAGAACCAATTCATCCGAGAGGTTAATCTTTTGTCTCGGCTTCACCATCAAAATGTCATCAAGGTTCATATCTTTCCTTCTCCTGTTCGTTTTTTGTCTCACGAATCATCTAACAGGCTTATTCGAGAACCGTAAATATTTGGAGAACCAACTATTCATTGAATATCGTGATAGATATTCATAATGAATAATAAAAATGCATGATGTTGATGATGAATAGTAATATTCATCGTCAAAATGTCATTAAAGTTTCTCTCTTTAATCATCTGCATCTTTGTGTTATATATAAGGTAAGAATCATAAATATTTTGAGAATTGTGAGAACATTTAGGTATATATACAGCGAAGAATAATTTATGAATAGTTGGTTCTGGTTTTAAAGTGTTTACGGGTTCGTAAATGAACTTTCTACATATATCGTAATAAATACATACACTCGTTATAAGTTTATCATCAAATATTTGAATCGTTTCCATTATCTTTTTGTGGCGGTAGTTTGTGGCTGCATGTCGACAACCACCGGTTTTCTGTATCATCACCGAGTATCTTTCCGAGGGTTCGTTGAGGGCATACCTGCATAAACTCGAGGATAACACCGGGAAAGAAAAGGAGTATCTTCCATACGGAAAACTAATTAAGATGGCTTTAGACATTGCTCGTGGAATGGAGTACATTCATTCACAGGGCGTTATTCATCGGGATCTTAAGCCGGAAAATATACTAATAAACGAAAATTCCCAGCTGAAAATTGCGGATTTTGGGATAGGTTGTGAAGAGGCATATTGCGATTTTTTGGCAGATGACCCAGGAACGTACCGTTGGATGGCACCCGAGATGATCAAAAGAAAGTCCTACGGCCGGAAGGTTGATGTATATGGGTTTGGACTCATTTTATGGGAGATGATAGCCGGGACTATCCCGTATAACGATATGACTCCGATTCAAGCCGCATTTGCTGTCGTCCATAAGGTATCATTCCTTCTTTCAGATCTTCTTGCGCTGTTCACTGCAACAAAATCGGCTTTACAATGTCTCGTGTACACATGACACTTGTTTTTATAACACATTTTTTGAAATAACTGCGTATCTTTTGTTTGGTCTTATAAAATCGTCTGAATCAGTTTTAGGATATTTGGCGTCCTACAAAGCCGATTTTGTTATAGTGTCTTATTGTTGCTCTATTTTTGACCATAAGTTTCGCACGTTTTGGGTCAAACAAATTGGTTTTGGTCTTTTTGCAGAATCTACGCCCATCTATTCCTGCTAACTGTCCTCCGGCAATGAGAGCTTTGATCGAGCAATGCTGGTCTTCACAGCCGGATAAGAGGCCGGAATTCTGGCAGGTGGTGAAGGTGTTAGAGGAGTTTGAATCTTTGATCGCTCGTGATGGAAACTTGAATCTTTTACAGCACCCGACTTGTTTAGATCATAAAAAGGGGCTTCGTCATTGGATTCAAAAGCTCGGTCCACATCATCAACATCAACATCAACATCAACACACTTCCCCAACGCCGAAACCGAGGTTTTCATGAAAACTTTCCGAGAGGTTATTTATCTGGAACTGTTTTAGTTCACCAGGTAACGATGTAATTAAAGAAGCGTCTGTTTTTCGCATTTCGTTTGCTGTTTCTTTTTGTGAATGATTAGCGTTTACCAATACATTGTTGTTTCAAAGATTGGTTCCGTTACAGAAAACCCGATGCATATCGATCGTATTTTATTTGATTTCGATCGTATTTGACGGGATTTTGTTTGTTTTATGTGAATTTGCTTGATGCATATATATTTTGTACTTGTGGTGATGGTGGGCGATGTTGCTTTAACGACTTGTACATAAGCCAGTAAAGGTTGTACATTGTTGGTCGTAGTTCTTTGTTGTGTAAGGACCTCGGTCCTTGCTTGGTCGATTCATCTTCTTTGTTTTATATATGTTTGAATCACATTAAGTTCTTGCTTATGAAAATTTGAATGTAATAAGATGTGATAATTTTAGATAGGTTTTTTTTAAGTATATAATATTTATATACGGCAAATAGAACAAATAAATTCGCATACCATTCACACCTTTGGTGAGAGGTTTGAACCCCTGACCTCCTAAGAAGCCAATGACTCACATACCACTAGGTCAAAAGTCTTTTGGTTAATTTTAGATAGTTTATATATAGAGTTGGGTTAAGACAAGAATATAGTCAATAAGATACACAAGAATGTTTACATCACATATAATTTTGGGCATAAAACCATGTGTGATTCAGGTTAGGTTAAAATCACATGTGATATAAAGTTCTTGTGTTCTTTTACTTTGACCGTACTCTTATTTGAAGCTCCTTCCTAAATCATATGTGATTCTATATTGAAATTATACATGATTATGGGCTACCTTGTTCTCCTGCACACTCTTGCGCTAATCGTATTCTGTCATTGTATGTGATTACATATGATTTGACCGTTCTGATGCTATCTTATTTTGACCATCTTCTTGTTTGAACTAGGTGAGGAAATGGGGCGGGCCCTAATCCCCATCCCGTTCACACCAGGGAATATGATCACCTCTTTATTCTCGTCCCCAATAGGGAATCGATGATTTTTTCCTGTTTATATGAGGTATTTTAAATCGAATGTGTTAAATAACACACTCGATCCAGAATGGTTTATGTTCAAATCTCATATATATATATATATTTCCAAATTTTGTTTTTATAGAGTATCAAATATTCATATGTTAACAAAATCACAACATCATATATAATGGTTTGATCAAATGCTTTATGTCCTCTATGTTTTTTCTCTAACAAAAAAGTAAAACAAGTTAAAAAAAATTGTATATACGAAGAAAAGTCAAAATACTCTTACTAAATCCAATTCTTTATAAATAATATATTAAATAATACATATATAATATGCGTGGACTGGGCCGGTTAGGGATCACGCTACCCGTCCTAGTCCCCGATTTTTAACTTTGGGAATTCCTGTCCCCATCCGGTCCCCAGTTTTACTGGGAATCCCCCGCCCTTTCGGAACAGGTACATCAGGTTCCCCAATAGGGAGGGTCTTATTTTCATGCCTAGTTTGAACCAACTATATATGTATGTATGTATGTATGTATGTATGTATGTATGTATGTATGTATATATATGTGTGTGTGTGTGTGTGTGTATGACATTTCTTATAAATCATCAAATTCTAACAAACTATACAAACCATAATCAATGCTTATATTAGAAAACAATATAGATATTTATGGACAATTATCATGATCCATTAATTATGATTGAGATACATATGAAAGACGATAAGTTTCATTCATTATGATCATTACTTAACATTAGGAAACAAAATGGAATTAAATATTTATTAGACTAGATGGACGACTAAGATTTGTTTGTATGGTTTGTTAGCATTGGTTAGTTTGTAAATGAAAAGCCCCCTATGTAGACAAAAGATCATGTGAGAATAAGGGTTAATGTAGAAGCATAAGGAGGGATTTGTACTCATGATCACTTTTAATCTCACTCCCATCCCATTTTATCATGGGAATTGATCCAATGCATCTTGGTACATCTCATTAGTGTTAATCTTCAATTAAGATTAATTCAAAGGTGGAGATCCCTTCTTGACATTCTCATTATAACTTTCATTCTAATTAGAACCCAATACTACACACACATATGTATAGGAAGTACCTTTTGTTGACCAAAAAATGGTGTTAACCATACAAACCTTTATTGACCACCAATTGTAGACATGGTTACATGGTTGATTCACAAGTTGTATGTAATTTTTTGTTTTGTCCTTATTTGAATGACTTTTAATTGACTATTACATAATAGATTGATTCCATGATTTTAGGCTTGTGAGCTTTATTTTAGCCGATTGAAGAAGATTATGTATGCAAATTAAGAAATATGGTTGTTTTCAAGATTCTTAGTAAACATTGTACATTGCTCATTTACGAACGTTGTTCATTACTACACGTTGTACATTACTTATGTAAGTGAATCTATGTGAACCTTGTCATCATAAGTGTTCCATAACAATAAAACTATATGTTCACAAGTGTTCATACTTATGAAAAAGTTAACCTATGCAGGGGTGGCCCAAAGGGTGGGCGAGCCGGGCGACAACCCAAGACATCAAAGCCCAAGGGGTATCAATTTAGGCCCAGTAATATTATTATTAATAAAAAAAATTCAAAGTGGCGACTATAAGACTTGAATTCTAAAACCTCAAGAATACACACTTCCTTACCACTAAGCTATTAATATATTTTGATATTTTTTTCTTCTTATTTGAATTTTATTAGTTTTTTCGCCGATTCATGTTTTTCTTCCTTACATTTCTTTTTTTCGACTTTTGTCTTGTTTCATGGAAACATTTATTTATCTGAAATAAGATTAATTATATTCAACAATTAATACTTTTTATGTATTTTTGTTTTGAAAATCATGTGATAATATTCGTAAGTTTATTATTCTTTTTCCCAAACATTTTTTATGCAGTAAATTAATATGATCAAACTCTACTTAAAACAATTTAGACCACTAACCAACTTCAACTCGGAACCACAAATATCTTTTGTTATATTTTATAAAATCAAACCATGTATGAAATAATTTAGGTTACTATACGATTTCAACTAATTTTTTTTTGTGATTTCCATAGTCATAAATATGATTCTCGAAGATTATTTTTTATTTTGTATTATATTTTTTGATTCTATGTTGAATCTCGTAATTCCAATTTTGTTGTCACTCATAATGTGGTTTGGTGCCTAACGCTATATATGGTTGCTTAAACTACATAACACTCGCTACTCAAGGATGTTTAGATATTTAAAAATATGATACACACATAATATTAAGTTTTCCTAAGTTTTAAGACAAATTAAACATCTTTATATGGTCATATACAATTAGTTTGAGCACAACTATCATTATATGCAAGTTTTTAAAAGAACAATTTAACTCACTACAAAAATGAAGAGTATCAACGAGGGAAAATTCCCTTGCAAATCCCTCTCTAAAAGGGTTTTCCGTCCCTGATCTGTCGTTGATACTCCGTCGGTCAAAGGCTCATAGGTAATGCTATCAGTGACGGATCAACAACGAATCAACGAGGGATACTTTCAGTGACGGATCAGCGAGAGAACTGATTCAGCGACGGATCAACAACGAATCAACAAGGGATACTTTCAGTGACAGACCAGCGAGAGAACTGATTCAGCGACGGATCAACAACGAATCAACGAGGGATACTTTCAGTGACGGACTAGCGAGAGAACTGATTTAGCGATAGATCAGCGAGAGAACTTTCAGCGACAGATCAGCAAGGGAACTTTTAGTGACAGATCAACGAAGGATACTTTCAGCGACAGATCAACGAGGAAGTAAGGGAATCTGTTTTTGGCCTTTTCCTCGCTGATCTCTCGCTGATTTTCGTCGCTGATACCTTGTTTTCTAGTAGTGACTTGATATTACATTATGATATTATATAATCATAAGATATGCATTACAAAAAATAAATTATCATTCAATAACAATAACAAAAGTTGGCTCAGGTATGAGATGCCTAGTTTGATTAGGTTCCGAACCCTTTAAAAAAATAATATGTTTCATTTGTAGTTTTTTAAATAGTGGGAGCATTATTTGTACCTTCTCGTCCAGGATATGAGAAAAGGACAGGCCCTGAGTCTGTGTTCATACCCATGAAACTAATTACAAATGTGTTTATAAGGCTATGTGTTCCAGAACAATAGAACTAATGTGTTCGTAGGTGAACCGAGTTTCCATTTATGTGCTCATAAACACAAGTTGAACATTGTTCATTAGTGAACTAGGTACCATTTAAGATAACTTTCATAGTAAACCAAATTTGATAAAGCATGTGCTCATAAGAGAAAGTGTAGATGTTTAGAATTCATAATCAATGTGAAGAAATCTTCCCGATCTTGTCCAAAATTACTCTTATTCAATAATGTTCATCTATGTTTATTATGCAGCCTGTTTTAAATCTATATATATATATATATATATATATATTAAAGAAGAAACCACTATGTATGATGTGGCCTCTTCTAAAAGTTAGGAGCTTATTTATCTTTTTTCTCCTTTTTTTGTTTTTTAAAATACTAATTAAGTTAAAGACTATTATGCCCCTACAAGCAAATTGTATATTTCATAATAGATGAGATCATTTAGTAATTTTGCATCCAACTAAGTTTAACCTCCCAAATTATTCAACTTTTTAATAAGCATTCAAGATAAGTTTAACCCCCTAGACTATTCAACTTCTTCTTAATAGACATTTATTTTATTTATTATTGCAATTGATTTACCTTCTCCAACTTTTTATCTCTTTATCTCTTTATTTCTCAATCTCTTCCTCTTGATATAGTTTGACATAAATTGCTATCAAGAAACAATTGATTATGTTCTTAAAAATATTCTCACAAAGGAAAAACCAAGATTGATGACATGATTTCTCCTAAAGGTTAGAAATTATCTTTTTTCTCATTTATCCTTATTTTAATCTT